GAATTTACTGAGGCTCTTTTTGTGGCCTAGTATGTGGTCTATTCTGGAGAATGTTCCATGTGCACTTGAGAAGAATGTGTATCCTGTTGCTTTTGTGTGTAGAGTTCTGTAGATGTCTATTAGGTCCATCTGTTCTAGTGTGTTGTTCAGTGCCTCTGTGTCCTTATTTTCTGTCTGGTGGATCTGTCCTTTGGAGTGAATGGTGTGTTTAAGATACCTTTGCAGTTCTTTTTGTCTGTAGGATATATCCTGCTAGAGATCCACAATCAGCCTATATTTAATCACTTGCAATAATTTCTCTCTGCAGTTAAGCCACTAACTCAGTATCAAGTTAAATTGAAACTTTTTTCCCACTTTCAGTTTTTAGGCTCCCTCCTTTGCTTTATAGGTAACTAGTTTTCCTTCTCCTTAACATTGTTTTTGTTGTTGTATGCACTTTGATTTTTTTACTTAACATACTGGGTGAATAGATCAGTGTATATATATTTGGTATATTTTTGCCAGTTTCAGGGTTACATTCCCCAGGATTCCTAGCATGTATATGTTCTTCATTGAGTAATTGCCAGATACCCCTCTTCACTTTTCATTTCCACCAGCAATGTATGGGGGGCCCTTTTTCCACATGGCTGTCATATGCTTCAGGGTCATTTGCATTTCTGTTTCTGTAAACTACTTCTTTGTACCTCTTAGTTTTCTAGATGAGTGTTAGTCTTTGTTTTCTCTATTTTAGAAGCTGTATATGAACCCTTTGTGATATAATTGCAGATATTTTGCCCTTTTTTTATCATCTTTCTTTGTACTTCTCTTAAAGCTTATTTTTATCATCTAAAAGTTGTTTGTTAGTTTTCATGGATTATTTAGATTATTCCTGGATTTTGAATCATAGTTAGGAAACCTTTACTCATTCTCAGGTCATATCACTATAGAAGAATTCACCCATATTTTCTTCTAGTACATATGTGGTTTCTTTACATTTAAAGCTGATCCATTTAGAATTTATTCTCTCATATTGTGTGAGAAACAGATTCAGTTTTTATCTGGTTCCATATGATTGTACGGTACTTCTCATTACATTACTGAATAAGAAGCCCTCTTTTTCTCACACTGGTTTGCAATTCTTTTTATTTCCCCACAGTTCTAAAACTTAATTTTATTTGGATACATTAATACAAATGTATGCCTGATAGCCTAGTGATAATTTGTAAGTTTAGTAGTTCACAGCATTTTTATAGAAAGTAAATAATATTGACATTCAAATTAGGCCCTATGGAAAGTTTTGTAAACAATGAAACATTTACTATAATCCTTTTAAAAGTCCTGTCCTTTTCAAAAAAAGTCCTTTCAAAAAAGATCTTTTGAAAGATCAACATTGAATTTTTAAAAATCAAAAGAAAAGAAAATAAGTGTTTTTCCCACAAAGTACATAAAAACCATTTGCTGACATTTGCATTTTAAGTGCCTGGAATAAAATGGGCCAAATTTCCGAAGGCAGTTAATAACAAGGACTTTTTCATTTGATTTAGCATCAAGTAAATTAAGAGTAAATATACCATTGAAGATGTAGTTGAGTTCCTCCTCTGTCTCATACTGTCTCATTCTTCCTACCAGGCCACAGTACCTAAGCATACATTATTGTTGCCCCACAAAGGACTCAAATAATTTTCCTTTCAAAACGAGTACTCAAATTATACTCACTGGCAGAGTTCTCTCCCTGCCAGATGACAGGATGGCAGTGAACACTACCATATATCAACTTTTTTGATTAGGATTAAAGAATTCTTTCAGCAAACTCAATTATTTTCCTGGTCTTTTTTAACCTGTCATGTAAATCCTTTTAGTTGCTGCACCTGCTTGCTGATTATGATTGTTACATATGTCGAGGGAATTTTCCCCAGGCATACCTGATCTATTTCCTAATAACAAAGAATGCCTATTTTACCTAGTGCCCTGAGCTTTCTTTCATTATTATTACTTGTTCTTTAATTTTTTACTCATCAAAGCAGGTCATACATTTTGAATAAAAAGAAAAACCTGCAAGTAGACCCTAAAGCACATATTTTTTAACCTGAGTAATATCTGAAAACATAAGACTTTACAATTTTGAAGTTGAAAATTCAACTTTGGTGCTTTTGTAAGAATTTATAATGTCAGTTTCTAATACAAGTCATATCCCCCAGTACATATATATTTTCAAAAGAAAATAAGTCATTGGAAAGTAATATCCTATATACTAGTTAGTACATTTTTATATCAAATTGAAAATTCTGAGAAAAGTGAGGGTATATGTAATAACAAAATAAATACAGTATAGCATATATTGCTAGCTTATAAATTTCGTGGCAACAGTGAATTTGCATCCTGCAGCTAATCTGTAAATTTAGTTCCTTTTTTTCTGGAATTTTGTAGACATAGTGTCTCACAAAGCTGTGTATCACCGTGCTAAAGATGTCTTTTTCATCGTCAGTCTTTGCAAAAGCCTCTGATGAGATACTTTTCCTAAATGACATGAGTTTTTTTTGTTGTGTTTTTTTTTACTTTTCCAGAAAAATGAGGAAACTATCAACCACTTATGCTTCTAAACAAAAGTTAGATTACTACCAGTTGTTCTTTTAATTATGCTTTAAAAGATTTCCAAAAGTTTAGATGTTTTTGTTGTTTTTGAATTGCACACCCATAGAAGATAACTGGAGAAACACTAGATGATTTCAAAAGATGAAACTTAGTATCTTGCCTCTGTTTGCACATCCTTAATTTCCTGAATAAAATCAGTAGAAATTAAACTAATATAATTTTCAAATAATTCATACATGCCAGTCTTAGGACAAGTAGCTCTAAATGCAAGGGCCAGAAACTTGTGCTCATCTTACTAGTTCTATTCACTTTTCCTCATGGAGAAACTGATGTTTTTGGTCTATTTGTGGAACTTTTGTTTGTAGGAAAGCATATACACAGGGCCAGATCTTTTTGGTTTCTATTCTGGAGAATGTTTCTAATACTCTTTTATACTGGTGTTCCAGGACTCTCTCTGTGAGCTTCAGTCTCTTGGCAGTCGTCTCTGGTCTGTCATCCTTATGCTGAGTGAGAGGCTCTCCAGTCAAATCACATACGTATCCACAGTTTTGGGAAGGTTGAATTTGATGTTGTAGACTCCATTGCTGGCTGGCTGAATTTAGTGATCAGAGAGATTTTGCTTAATGACTTTGTCTTTAGGAAATAGAAATAAATTGGGTATGCCTGGGGAAGATTCCCTCAACATTCCCTCAGAGGGCACTTTCAGATTAATCACCATATCTATCCTGGGTTTCTGCCTGTTGAAGGGTCCTTGGAAAACCATCCAATAACCCAGCTAGACTGGGTGAGATTTTTCAGCTCATGAAGGGCCAGCCAAGTCATGACATTGTCTGGGATGAGCCTTCCTTGGTCAATGAAAGTCTTGACTAACATACCAGTTTCTGTGCCCCGAGGCATTTTGTCTCAGAGCAGGTCCCTCCTGGAGAGGTGCTTCAGCTTTTGAAGTATTTGGTGATATGTGACGATGACACAATGCCCTTTCCTGAACTGGGTGTCCCCATGGGAGAGGCCCCAATGTGCAGACAGGAGCTTCAGCCAGGCTGCATGTCACCCCCTTTTGAGATCCTGGGCCAGTTGGCTGGCAGTGCTGAAAGCAGGCACAGCTGCTGTTTGTTTTTTATTGTATTGATATCTATACAGTACTCCATCACTTTTCTTAACCTGATTGAGAAGTTTTAAAGTAAGTTAAAAATAAGTCTGACTTTATTAAACTGCAACATATATCTTCAGGGGTACCTAATGTTCCTGATTTCATATCCAAGTGCAACTGAATTATTGCCAAGGGAACTTTTTGCCTGTCGTACTACCTTTAACACTAATGAAGTGTTACTTCCTTACAGTGCCACAAGGTTGCAGTAGTGAGAGAAGATAAATTGGAAGGTAAGTGTTCTGTTGATTTGGGCAAGCTTTTCCTCTTATGGCATCAGTGTAGGTACAATAAAAAAACCTGCCTGTAACATCTGCATACAACATATTTAGCTATTTAACAGAACAGCCATATATTCCTTTTATTAGTAGTTTCTCAAACATGTTAAAATATGATAGTGTATCTGCCTGACTTACCACTGTTAAGGCCAATAACTGCTGACATTTATAAAGCACTTTTATCGCAGAATTTCGGAACTTGTAACATGCAAAAACTATCATGAATACCACATGGAACACCTTATCAACTGTAAAGACAGTCGTCTCCAAATACCAGGTTGTGTTCCATAAGAGTTTTTTAGGAAGAAAATTAAAGAAAACTTTTCTAAAGTCAGAAAGACTTAAGGTAACTTCTAAATTAAATTTGTCCACCCATTTAAAAACTGTTAATACTACTGTTCTATTATTTAAAAACCAGATTCAAAGGAATTATAGTAGGCAGGGTCCAAGTGGTCTTGGACCTATGTCTCAAGACAAAACCTTTATACAAAAAAGTTTGTATACAAAGACTTCTGCTAGTGGAGTCTTTTTTTTTTTTTTCCCACAAAAGTCATCTCTGCTTGTCTTTAGGGTGGTGGAGATGTCCACTTTTCTCTTTCTGAATGCCCACAGTGGTAGGCAAAGCAAGATTTATTCAACATAGTATTTATATTTACTTGTGTCAAGCTCTGTGCTAGGCACTAGAGACTCAGAACAAGTTAGGCACAGATCCTTCGCTTGTGAAACCTAAATTTTGTTCTTGTGAATTTTTTTTTTTTGTTTTTCTCTGTGGACTTACCTGGTTAGTAGTATTTTTGTTACAGAGTGTTTTTTTAAACTAAAATTGAATTACATAATTGAGTCTTCTCAGAAATTACTTATTCCTCAATTATATGCTAGAGCATAAGATTCTGACTAAAAAAAGACCATCATCATTGTCATCAATCAATCACTAATATTTACTGAGTGTCCACTAGATGAGTGATACCCTCACAGGTGCTGTACTTAGAACTGACTCACCACCACCTACCTTGTCATAATGTCCCTATTACAGACAGAAGAGTCGATGTTATACTGTATATGTGACTCTTTGGCCTTTTAGAGCTTTTTGGACCACCACAGATTGCAAATGGCTTTAATGCAGAAGGGTTTCTTGTTAAAGTGCCCACATGCTATGAAGTTTGTGTATTAACAGACTGCTTTTCCTGTTGACTTGTAGCAGTGAAGTCCAAGCTAGCTGTGACTGCCAGCATCCATGTGTACAGCATCCAGAAAGCCATGTTAAAGGACAGTGGGCCTCTGTTCAATACCGACTATGACATCCTTAAAAGCAACTTGCAGAACTGCAGCAAGTGAGCTCCTTAATGTTCCTTGTGGGCTTCTTTACGAACTGATTTTGTAAGATGTTTACACAGTGGCTGCCTCTTACGAGTGAATGCCAAGTCTAGTAAAATCCCATTTATCTTGCAGTAAGACACATGCCTGGTTTTATTAGTACATCATAAGGTGAAAAATAGCAGCCACAACCCATATTGAAAACCCCAGTGGACTCCCCATAAATCTATTTCTCATGTATTTATCCTGTCAGTGCCACCAGAAATGTTTGTTGTGCTCCCTTGTTACTCCCTTAGCCTAGTTTCTGCTTGTTTGAATCCTACCCATCCTTCAAGAACTGGTTCACATGTCCTTCAAAAAACTATTCCTTATTTGAAACCCTTGTACCTTCCATTCAAAAGCAGTTGCTCTTCTATGGCCAGGATCAGATTGTGTTCACCTTTTGTATCCTTCATACTATGGGGTTGGGGGGTGATGCATGTGGGTTTTGGAAATTGATAGTCATGGGCTTGAGTTGTGGCTTTGCTGCTTAATAGCCCAGTGGCTTTGGGCAAATTACTTAAACTCTTTGAGCTTTGGTTTCTTTATCTTTATATTAGATATAATAATGCCTATTTTGTGGGGTTGTATTGAGGGTTCAGGTCAGTTCCCCAGACATATATTGAGAACTTAACTGCTTTGATAGGTACTAAGATAATTTGTATTTATTCAACAAAGAGCTAATGAGAACCTATGACATGACATGCACTATAGAGTGAATATGGCCCAATACCTGCTCAATATTGATGGTCTGGTGGAAGGCAGTTATAGTACAGTGTGACAGTGCTGTAATAAGAGTAACAGTGGGAAGATGTTGGGCATGGGCACTGTGGAGGGAGGAGGCAAGAGAGAGAAGGGTATGACATCTAAGGTGAGGCCTGAAGGCCTAGTAGAAGGAGGCCGGTTAGAAGGAGGAGAGTAAGAATAGAACCGAGAGAAAATATGGTGCTTGTGTATAACAACAATAGTTTTCTATGGCTGGAACTTAGAGTGAAAGGTAGCAAATGGTGAGGTAAAGACATGGAACACCTCATCAACTGTAAAAAGACCGTAGTCTCTAAATACCATGTTGTGTTCCATATGAGTTTTTTAGGAAGAAAATTGAAGAATACTTTTCTAAGTATCTGAAATAGGACTTAGATTCTATGTTTTGACTGCTAGGATAAGGAGTTCAGACTTTATTCTGAGGGCACTGGGGAGCCACTGAAGGTTTTGAAGCACATGAATGAAATAGTCAGAATTTCATTATAGAAAGATCACTCTCGGTGTGATGGTGAAGATAGATCAGAAGGGAATAATACAGAAACAAGACCATCAGAGAGGAGAAGTGTTGCAATGTTTCAGGGTGGAAATGAAAGTTATCTGAAGTAGAGTAGTGGTGTTGGGGTGGAGAAGTATGAAGGTTAAAAAGTCAAACCATCAAAACTTGGATGTCTGAGTGGTTGGGGACCAGGGCACATGTGCGTGTGTCATGTGTGTTCATGGTTGATGTTCATAATGCTGAATGTGTTCGAGGATGATGGCCGTGTGTCTAGCTAGGGTGCCTGGAGCGATGATGGTACCATCACTAACAAAGGGAATACGTGAGGAGGAGCAGGCTTTGGGGGAGGGAAAAATGATGAACTGGGTTGGACATGTTGAGTTTGTGAAGCCTGTGGGGAGTACAAGTGGAGGTATCCATTGCTATGGATAGGTGAGTCTAGAGCTAAGGAAAGAAACCTAGTCAAGATAGACATCTTGGAATCTGAGAAAATAGGTAACTAATTGGGCTTCAGCAGTAGATACAGTTTTGCAGAGAGAATGTAGAGAATAAAACAAGGCAGAAAGTAAAACTCTAGGCCACAATTACAAGCTTTGTAATCTTGGGTAAATTATTTAACCTTGCTGTGCTTCAGTTCCTCATCAGTAAAATGAAGCTAATGGTAGTACCAGCCTCCAGGGTTGTAGAGGATTAAATGAATTAATATATGTAAAGCAGTTAGAAAGTGTTTGGCACATAGTAAGCACTATTTAAGGGATGGGCAGAAAAAGAAGGGCCTAAGAGGGAGCAGCCAGGGAGAAGAGGAAAATTATAAAAGTAAATGGGATTCTAAAAGCTAGGGAAAGAACTTCAAGGAGGGACTGGTTGACAGTATTAAACTTGCTGAGAAGCTAAGTAAAATAGGAACTGAAAAATGTCGACTGGATTTAGTCCTGGCTTTGGTGAGAGTATGTTCAGTGGAGTTACCAGATTCTGGTCAACTGAATAGAAGGGGGGACATGAGGAAGTGAGACAGCAAATAGGAACAATTCTAGGAAATTTGACTATAAAATGGAGGAAAAAAGAGAGAGGCAGCTAAAGAAGAATTGAGACTAAGGGAGGATAGATACATTTTTAAAGTCGAGAATGCCTTGAACTTGTATTGTTAGGAAAAAGCCATAAAAGAGGAAATGGTTGAAGACACTGGGGAAGACGGGATAACTGAGAGAGCCAGGTCCCTGAGAAATAGACACAGAATTACCAAGCATAGTTTCTGCAAGTTCCATGAGAATAGGGGATGCTGTTTATTTTGTTAACCACTATATACCCAAAATGGTGCCTGGCAAATGCTAAGCACTCAGTAAGTAATTGTTGAGTGAATTAATGATAGACATTAGTTCATTTTTTCTTTAGCTCAAAAACTTGAGAGTAATAGACATACAAATATTCATTAAATAAGTATAATTCTTTAGCTAAAGAGTAATAATTTATGTCTGGCATTTTTTAGGGAAGGATTACAAGAAAACAGCACCCTGATAATTATGTAAATTATTTGAATTTAAAAATAATCTATGTTAGCATCTAGTCATGCCTCTAAAAATCACTTCTGTTGTATCTAGTAAGTAAGCAAAAAAGAGTAAAAGTGACTCAGGGATCAAAATGAAATTTGCATACGGACTGCTAAAATAAACACACCAAGGAGAAATGTGGCAATAGGAAGTACTTTAATGAAACTTTACATAAATACTTAAAGTATCCTTGGTAGAAAAGTGAAGACTCTTTCTTCAATAAAGTAGCTTGTCTTTTGTTCTAAGAATTATGGGCCAACTGAGATCTGACTCATTGTTTCGTGTGTTTTAAGAAGTGCTGTGACAGGAAGAAAAGTTGAAATTTTAGGATTGAGCAGATTCTTCTCTCTTCGGACATGTTCCCAACCAAACTTGGTCTCTTCTTATTGCCAATTCCTGGTCCTGACCCGAAGGTGTGGAATATAGACCAAGTGAAGGAGTTTGTCTAAGGGCCAACTTTAAATGTTGACAATGAAATAAAATATTGCTCTTTTCCTTGTACATGGAAGCACTGCAAGGCTAGAGAGGAAAAGTGGTGGATGAAAAGAAATGATTTCCGTCTGTTCTTAACTCTGATGCACAAAATATTTGTATTAATGTAGGGTTTTCCGATGTGGACCATGATAAATCAGTGGAAGATTTTTGAAGCTGTAGACTCTAGCTTTGCGGCACTCAGTGTAATGTTACACCAGAGATTGAATGATTTATCAGGGATTATTTTCCTTAGGCCAGTTAATATTCTACCAGTTAAATCTTGAAGTTGTGGCTGGTTGATTTCTAAGATAATTGCTGTCACCACATAGTCTCTTAAACTCCATCTTCTTCCACCCCAACCTGAGATACACTAAGAAGGGAGAGAAGCCAGAAACCTCATTTTCAATGACTTCAATAATCATTTTTTCAACATGTACTTCTGTGTGCCAGGTCTGGCACTGGGTACCTGAAATGCAAAAGATGAATAATATACTTCCTTACGTTCAAGGAGCTCTCGTCTACCCACAATGAACAAAAGATGGAGGAATAAAATGTTCTTCTTTAAGAGTTAGGGAAAGTTGGGGAACTTCGCTTTAAGAACAGCTGTTTGGGAAGGCTGGATTGGTTACCTTTTCACAATGTGGAGCATTGCATTATGGATTTGTGTGAAACGAGCACATCTACAGTGACTAGAGAAGAGTGCTCCCTTTAGTATGCCATGCTGACTGTTTCAAATTTATTTACTTGGCTTTGGGCATACTTGTCTGGTGCCGTTAGTTGGTATTAGAAATTACTAACAATTGACTGTAAAGGACCACAGGGTATAGGAGCCCGTGGCTCTGTTCCCAGCTTCCCCCATGTTTTAAAGCAGAATCCATTTGGACAGGAGAGTTGCCAGCAAATTTGTTAATATTTAAAGCTCTTAGTTTTGATAATTTGCGTATCTAACCCTTTAAGGTGAAGGTCTTAAAAACAAGAGATAAGCACTTGGTTTCTCAAGGATGGTGAAATTACTCATCTTGTATTATTGTTTGGTGTATTCTTACTGTTTTGAGTTAGGATGCTTTTTACAAAAGAGAATATTCAGTATGGTATGGTAGAAGATGCCTGATTCCAGTCCTAGTTCTGTTACTAACTGGATGTATAACACAGGACAAGTCATTCAGTTCTCTCCAGTATTGTTTTTTTATCTAAATGAGAAGTTTGCACAAAATAATTTTAAAAATCCACTCTAGTGCTAATACTTTCTGATTTTATAGTATTAGGGTTAGGAAGTCTTGTGTGGAAAAAGGAAAACTTTGAAAATAGGGTTTGGTACTGACATTAATGGAGCATTTATGTCCTTAGGTTTAGTGCCATACGGTGTGCAGCTGCAGTCCCTAGAGCTCCTGTGGAATCCTCATCTTCTGAAAAGTTTGAGCAGTCAAATCTTCAGGCATCAAATGAGACACAAGCCCATGAATTGAAGACCAATGGTCATGGCCCACCTACCTCCAAACAGATTTCTGAGCAGCCCAAAGGAATTATGGGAATGTTTGCCTCTAAAGCTGCTTCTAAAACCCAAGATACCAACAAGGAAACCAAAACAGAGGCTAAAGAAGTAACAAATGTAAGTCTTCCTTAAAGATAATGCCTTTACAGCTCAGAGTGGATAATTAGAAAAGCATTAATAGTTCCAGTGGTGGTAGTTTAATTATTTAAGGTTCTGGTATTTAGTTCTAGTTTTTTTACTTCAGTCTCAATCCTTTAATTCTTGATATTCTCATCTGAAATAGTTTTTTTCTTTTGCTAATGCTTCTCACCAAGCCTTGGACTTTGCTATAGAATGGTAATTAGCCTGCCCTGTGCACATCACAAGATTGTTGTGAGACCTAGTTGAAATAATGCATGTGAGAATATGCTAAAATTATTAAGTACAAAGAATTGTGTATTAGCTATATATCATTTTGGGAACACTTTATATTCTGAGCTTTGCCACATATGCCTTCTTCCCAAGTGTATTTAACATTCTTGTTCTATTTTATGAATTTTTCTTGTTTTTCTTCATTTACTTCACTTAGTTTTTATAGTTTACTCATGTGAACTAAAGTGCATTAACTTAAGAAAAGTGTCATTAAGATACTATTAAAAAATAATCCAGAAAAGCTTAATTATTATTACTATTATTACCATCATTATCATTTTAAAGCTTCCACTTTGGAAAAAGAGGGGAGGGGTAAACGGAGAACACTAACATTTATAGAACTAGTATGTGCCAATAGTTTGATCTTTGTTTAAATCCTCTTATAAATTCTGTGAGGGAGACATTATCATCTCCATTTTATATGTGGTGAAACCGAAGCCTAGACTTTCTGAGTATTTGCCTGGATGTCATATTACTAAGTGGCAAAACCAGCATTCAGATCCACATCTGGTGAATGCAAGTGTAATGTTTTGGAGGTTTTCCCACATTGTGTACCATGCTGCCTCTAATCTATTTTAATTATCTCAAAATAGTTTTTAAATTCTCAAGAAAAGTTTGTGGATAATAATTTTATAAGAACTATGAGAAACTAAGCTTTGAAGATTAACTCCAGATGCTGTCTGGTCTTGATATTTTATATCTAGCACCTATACACTTGGGCATAATAAAGTAGAAACCATATCATCATGATAGTGTGCTCTGCTATTGAGGAGATTGTTTGAGATTGCTACTTGAAGAGCAGCCTGCAGACTAGGAAAAAATCACAGTGTTTTCTTTTCTGTGCTTTTAGGCATCTTCAGCAGGCAGTAAGGCACCAGCGAAAGGGAATGTGATGAGCAATTTTTTTGGAAAAGCTGCTCTAAGTAAGTGTGCTCTTACCTTCCTTGGACTAATACATTACATGAGTGTTAATATAACATATCTGAGGTGAAAGCCACCTTGTCCACTTTTTACCCGTCTAGCACATTACCATGTCAGCACTCCTGCATCCTGATATAAATTTGCAGTCTACTGACCAATATATTGAATGGCCCAACTGGCAGTGGATTTTATGGGTGAGCAGAGTTAGTCTAGATCTCTTGCAAGGTAGTTTACTATTCTTTTTACTTCTGCTTTGAAAAGAGAATTAAATATTTGTTTCATAGGGCTCTTGAAAATGGGTGATTAAAATAAAAGGGAGGCTACTTGGCTAAGCAGTACAGTGTTGTGGATGCTGAGGTCAGTTTGCATGGTGTGCTCATTGTTAGTTATTACCCCTCTTTCCTAAAGGGCTGCAAAAAAAGCCTTGTGCCTTTAGTTATTTTTGCAGATTACTCATAATAATGAACTTGACCTCAGTGTGAATTAGAAGGGCCTAGGTAGTAACAGCCATTTAAAAATATTTTTTGAGAAAGCAAAATCTCCTTTATTAAAAAAAAAATCTTAAGAATTTTTTCATATGGAAAGAACCAGTAGTTACATATTTTCATAAGTCTCCCATCAAGTAAACATTCCCTGAGGGTATGTGGCAGAATACCAGGAAGAATGCAGGAGCCGCAGGATAATTATGGCACACTTTCTTGGAGCATCAGTTTTACAAAGAATTTGTGGGGGAAGCATTTTGGCACATGCCTGTGCAAGCAAAATTAGTCAGAAGTCTGCTTTCCCATGGTGGTCAAATTGGTGGTAAGGAGAGGTAGGTAGGTAGTTTTCATTTGCCATGAAAGTCATCAGAGGACATTTTTGTCTTCTGAAAGTGTGTCAAAAATTTCATACTTTCTGGTTATTGGGAAGCACAATTGTATTATTACAGGTATAGTACACAAGGAGGGTTCCCTAGTTCTGTGAAGTAGATCATGCTGATGTCACTGGCCTGCATGGCTGGTACTGGTCCACTGTATCCAGCTTGTGTGATTTCTTGGTAACTTTGATGAGGTCCACATATTAATTTGTTGCTTTTTTTTTATGCATTTGTAGCCTTATTATCAGTAAATTAAAAATTTTTTTATTCTAAAATACATCAGACATAAATATTCTAAAAAAAGTATCAAACTATACAGAATACACTTACTTGTGTGTTATTGAACAAATATTTATTGAGCAACTACAGTGTATTTGGCACTGTTGTGCACTGGTGATACAGTGGAGAAAATACAGACAAACAAGGTCCCTGGCCTCATGGCCCTTATATTCTACTGGGAGGGACAGACAAATAAATGCAGAAAGAATGAAATAGTTAATGATTATAATTGCAGAGAATAACGTGATGTTACAGTAGAATGTAATAGAGAGAGGGGGAGAAACAGATAAAAAAATAGAAGTATTAAATATTCACCTGATAAAAAGAATGGCTGACAAAATTGATTTATTTAACAGATGTTTTTTCAAGGCTGAATGTTTACAGTAAGATTCTAAATATGTTTACTATATTTGACATATGACAAGATCATCGCAATGAAAATAAATCTTGAGAGTTGGATGAAGAGAGTTGATTACAGGGACTTGAACCATTTAAACCTTAATGATAGAAAATAACAAGTGTTAGCAAGGATGTGGAAAATTGAACCTTCATATATTGCTGTGGGGAATATAAAATGATGTGCTTGCTTTGTAGAATGGTGTGGCAATGCTTCAAAAAGATAACCAGATTTATCTAGCACTTCTACTCCTGTATCTCAACTCACGTGAATTAAAACTGTATGTCAAACTTGTACACAATGTTTATAGCAGCATTTTTCGTAATAACAAAATAGTGAAAACAATGCAGAGGTCCCTCATCTGATGAATGGATAAACAAAATGTGATACATTCTTACAATGGAATATTATTCAGCCATAAAAAGGAGTGAAGTACTGATATACATGCTATAACATAAATGACCTTTGAAACATGTAAAGTGAAAGAATCCAGGTACAAAGACCACATGTTGATTCCATTTATGCAGAATGTCCAGAATAGACAAATCTATAGACAGGAAGTAGAGTGGTTGCCAAGAGCTGGTTTGGGGTTGGTGAGTAACTGGTGATGGGTACAGGGTTTTTATTGGAGTGATGAAAATGTTCTAAAATTGGATAGTGCAGATGGTTGCACAATTAAAAACCACTGAATTCTGACTTTAAATGGGTAAGTTTGCTGGCATGTAAATTATATCTCAATAACAAAAACCTTAATGCTTTATATGTAAAAATAAAAAAAACAGCATTGGCAATAATTGAAAGGTCAGCATCTATCATGGTTTCTTGCTTGAAGAGGTGTTTCCTATTTCCTTGATTATATAAAGGGGATGCTTTTAATTAGTCAGATGATACAAGTGACTTGATCATTTAGATAACAAGAAAATGTGATTATAAATTTTCCTTACCAGTTGTCTGAAAATGTTGCAATGAACTACCTTTTTACCAGCTAATTCATTGGCCAGTTGTAGCTGCATATATGAATTAATTTGGAGTTCCCAAAATACTGTGACAGAGAGTAAAAACTCTGGATGCTGAATGTTTAGTTAATGTTATTTTAATTTGGATCAATTTTCAAATTAGTAGACTTACAGCAATAACCTCTCCTTATTCTCAGTATTTGGAGGTTTTTCCTCCTAATTATGTAATTTTTAAAAATTGCTATGAAAATGGTATAAATTATGAATATTTTGTGACATTTCTTGAAAAACATGATAACTGAGTATAGCATGAAGGCTATTCTGTAATTTCTCCGATGGCTAGGCCCGTCCTGCTTATATTTCTTAGTTGTCTGCATTGTACAGCACACTAGTTTTGTGTTTTTTAGCTTGGTATAGGGAAAGAGGGTAAGGACTTTGAGGAGTTAAACTGACTTAAGTTCAAATCCTGGCTCTTACCTTAAACTCTATTAGTGTTAGCTTGGCTAAGTCACTTAACCTTATATACTGATCTCTCAATCCTAATGATAATCTTACAAATATGACTCCAGTTTTTACAGAGAAGACTGACTTTTAGACAATATAACTAGCCCATAGTGAACTAGGGTTTGAACTGTATTTTTCTGATTCCAAAATAGTCTTTAAATTTCATCATTAAGGTAGCAGTGAGATAATAAGAGTATTCAGGCTTAAAAAGATAGAATATAAAAAAGGAAATAAGATGCTGTTACAGATTTCTGTTGTCACGGTTTGTAAGCTGTGCGCTCTTGGAAAGCACCTTTTAATCTTCTGACTCTTTGTTTTCTCATGTAACAAATGAGAATGATGATACCTCATAAAGTTGAATTCAGTTTTTTTTCTAAGCCCTACTTTTTACTATTATTTGGTCTGGCAACTGTAATATAATGAGGGATTAGCAGGAGGCAGAAATGAAAACACTTATAGCTGGAGTGGTTGTTGGAAAGGAGAAATGTTCTCTGACTAGACCATGAGCTCTGTTAGCACAGAGACTGTTTTTTATCCCTTTAGCCCCTGCTACTAACATATTTAGAGCCTGGCACTTAGTAAACTGTCAAAGGAATGATAGATTAATATTGCATGATGGGGTTATATATCATCTGCTATACTGTATTCATAGATAAACTTAAAGTTAATTTGGATTCAGAACAAGTAGTGAAAGAAGAAAAAATAGTGGAGCAACCTCCAGTGTCTGTCATTGAACCAAAGCTGGCAGCCCCTGCAGGCCTGAAGAAATCCAGCAAAAAAGCAGAGCCTGTTAAGATGCAGCAGAAGGAAAAAAAAAGGTAGGAAAATTCTGTCACCTGTGGGGGAAGAGTGTCTCTGCTGGGGGTGAGAAGGTCTGGTCGGGCTTATTGACAGCAGGCAGCTTTCCGTTGAGTACTAAATCCTACTTAATGTCTTTGGGATACAGTAACAGAACTAAAAGAGAGAAGCTCAATAGCTTATCTAGTGAAGTACAACTGTGCAGTCAGCCAGTTTAGGTTATTTAGAGCCCAAAGTCAGCTTTTTGGGGTCCAGTGATCTAAATTGATTGTCTTTTCACTTGTTTTAAATTTGTGGCCATGGCACAAGTGTGCCTGTTTGTGCCCATGTGTCTGTTTTTCATTTCAGATTACTAAATGAGGGGTTACTGTTTCCAGTCAAATTTAAGAGAAAAAGTTTTTTGTTTTCTTTTTTAATATCAATGAGTTTATTTTTCAAGTGGTAAAATCTAATTAGAAAAGAAAATAAAAGCACACAAGCTGTTAAAAATGGATCCAGGAATTTGAGACACTACCTCATAGTTGGTAGGAATTAGTCTGTTGAAAGAAATTCTAAAGACACTAATTCAGGACTGATAGGCCCAGAAATACTTGACTTTTGTAGAAAGGTTGGGGCTACTCTAGTAGAAAACATCAACAAATGCTGAAGTTTCAGAGGGTCAAAGCTCTGTCCAGTGGGCCTCACCTCCTTGGAACACATGATGTAAATAGATTAAAATACTCCCAACCATGGGTACAACACTCATTGTTGATGGTTATTGCAAGGAATGCATTCAGTATTTCACTACCAAGTATGATGTTAACTGTATGTTTTTAGTAGATTCTCTTTTTCAGATGGAGGAAGTTCTTTTCTGTTCCTATTTTGCTGAGAAATTAGATCATGAATGACTACTGAGTTTTGACAGATGCTTTTTCTGCGTTTATTGAGATGATCTGATCATTGGTGTTTGTTAATGTAGTGAATTATCTTGATTGACTTTCAGGTGTTAAACCAACCTTACATTCTTGGCATAAACCCCTCTTGGTTGTGGTATTATCCTTTTAATGTATTTTTATGGATTCTATTTGTTAATATTATAGGGATTTTTGCCTCTATTTATGAGGCCTATACATCAGTTATTTTCTGGTAATGTCTTCAGCAGATTTCAGTATCAAAGTTATGCTAATTTTATGAAATTGGTTGGGAGAAGTTTCTTCCTCTGTTTTTCTGAAAGGGTTTGTGTGAGATACATACTTTTTTTTCTTAAAAGTTTGATAAAATGCACCAGTGAATCTGTGCCTGGGGTTTTCTTTTGTGGAAGGTTTATTTTATGACTTTGATTTCTTTTATTAAAGCTTTTCAAATTGTCTTGTTCTTTTTGGGATAGTTTGGTTGTGTTTTTATAAGAATATTGTTCATAATAGAGCCTTATTCTTTGAGTAGCTGTAGAATCTGTAGTTACCACTACAGATTCCTTTATTCTTTCATTCGTAATATTGGTGATATGTCTTTTTTTTTTTTTTTTAGTCTTATAAAAGGTTTGTGAATTCTGTTAATCTTTTCCCAAAAAAATAATAACTTTTGACTTTGTTAATTTTCTCTATCGCATTGATTTTTCACTCTTCTCTTTATTATTTCCTTCTACTTATTTTGAGTTTATCTTTTTCTAACTTAAGGTAGAAAAATAAGTTGATATTTAAAGTTAAAGAAGAAATAAGGTACTTGAAACTTGTGTCTTATACTATGTCTTAAGCATATTTCTGTCTCTGACATGCAGGAGGCCCTTGACAAATTATTTGTTGATAGAATGAATAGTGTGGTGGAGTATCCAGAGGAGCTAAGTAATAACGAAGATGGAGTCTAGGTTTTTATTGTATCATTAGAATTACCTTAAGGTCTTATGTCTGCCTTTGCTCATATTCTTTCTATTAAAAATATGTCTCTCTTTTTTATCTGATGACCTTCTACTTAGCTTTTATAGTTTTCAGTAAGAGTCATATCCCATAATAATTTATTTGTCCAGTAATATTTACTACATTGTATTATATAGTGGTGTTTATATCTGTTTCTCCTGTCAGAGCTTCTTGAGACCAGTATTTTCTTCATCTTTGCGTCAATGGTGCTTAGCAAAGAGCCTTTTATGGAGGTGGTAACTGCTTATTGATTGATTATTGAATGATTGAAAGGCCATTAGGGGAAGTAAGAAGAAATTTGGAATGATTCTCAATAACCTGGTAATAGTTTCCAGTGGTCTATAGGGAGCTAGAAAAGTTTTTTGTTCTGGTCACCCCATGAAGTGAGCTTGCTGTGGTTAGTTAGCAGAATGTCCTTAAAGAGAATCCTTATTGGTCTCTTTGACTCTTTTTTCTATCATCTGGAATTAAGACCATGAGTTTTGAGGCAAGATCCATAGTAGCCTATGAATGCTTACATTTTTACTTTGTTATTCTTTAAAAATATCTTAAATTATTCCTGGATGGCAACAGGGGGAAGCGAGTGGAGTTATCTGATGATGAAACAAAAGAAACTGAAAACTTGAGAAAAAAGAGAAGAAGAATCAAACTTCCTGAGTCTGATAGCAGCAAAGATGAAGGTGGGGACTGCTATTAATTTTGGTTAGTGGGATTGTCTTAGTCAGGTCAGGCTGCTGTAACAAAAATACCATAGATGGGGTGGCCAAGCAAGAGGAATTCTTTCCTCACAGTTGTGAAGGCTGAGAAATCTAAAATCAAGGTGCCACCTTGAAATTCTTGGTGAGAGCTCTCTTCCTGGTTTGCAGATGGATACTTTCTGCTGTATCCTCACATGGTAGAGAGAAACTGACTCTCTTGCATTTGTTATAAGGGCACTAATCTCACAAAAGTTCTACCCTCATGAGTTAATTACTCCCAAAGGCCCCACCTCCAACTACTATCATGTTAAGGATTAGGGCTTCAACATACCGATTTGGGGGGAATGCAAACATTCCTTGAGTTCTTACTATGATGCTCAGGGAACTAAAAAGTAATTTATTATGGCTTCCAACTAGTCATCCTAGTACTGAGAGACATATAACACCTATTTCTATTTAAAATCTACTTTGGCCTTTTGACCAGAACCATAATCTTCTGTTAATTTGCAAAATAACACGAAGAGAAAGAGAATAAAGCTTATTATATATATATTATCAAAGACCTTTTCTTTTTACAAAATAAAATGGAGAAATTCCTTTGGCTGTCTTTATGTGAATCTTTTTAAATGAGTAATATTGTAGGCATTAAGAATGTTAGTGGCGTTCCACAACCATCTGAGTAAAACCATGCTAAGATTAAGGAATCTATAATGTTGTTGAAATGGAGTGACACCATGGATCCTTCTAGTTTTAGGCTATGGGTGCTGTTGAAAGATGAGCAAACAAAATAAGAGCAAGATTCTGACCTGGTAAATTAAGGCATCTTTTAAAAGAATATCAAGTATTCTAAGAGTCAAGATCTTTTCCCATAGCATGTCAGTGAAAGTGCATAGAAAGAGGAGACCAAATAGAAAGACAGCTAGTTGAATATGCCAGACAACTTTAGCTAAAAGCCTGCTTTGAGAACTAGTGATGAAAGGCTTGAGTTGCTGTAATCTAGTCTCCATGAATTCATGTCATAATGAGTATAAAACATTTCAGGGAATGGGGATGGGAGAGAATATAGTCCAGAGGAATTCAGCATCACATAAAGGTACATAGACAAAAGCAAACAAACTGATGTTGGAAAATACTAGACTCTACTCTTAACAGAAACTGCTGTTAAGAACTGCAGATGGTAACAGAGGCTCCTAAACAGGGAATATTAGCCAAAATGTACAAGTGAGTGAAAAAACAAATTATATATACAAATGGCAAAATATAAAAGAAAGAAACCTACGAAATTGTACAAGGAAGTTAATCTATGACACAGGTACGTCTTTCACTTTTTTGTGGATTTAGGGATAGGGCATTGTGAGCATCCCAGAGGGGCAGTTGCTGTATACTCATACCATGTCATTTATCAAAATACTTTGACTAAGACTACTGAAAGGAAGAGACCTGTGTGTGGGTGAAACAAAAACCACCCAGGAACATTCTGACCAGTTAAGAGTTGAAGAAAAAGAGACTATTCCGTGCAGATGCACAGGAAAATAATTAGGAAGTAACTTAGGAATATGTGCTAATTGGAATAGTCTTCCCTGTTTCTGACCAGGAAAAAAACTGGGGGAGATTCTGGAAAAGTCTTTGAAGCCTTTCAGCCTAATGTACATTAAAAAGGCAAACTAATACACTAGTTTAAGTGGAGGAGTCAGCTCTAAATCTCAGAATTACTATGATTGATTGAGCTTCCATTACATATTTGTGAAATATTCTTTGTAGTTCTGATTCTTAGCCCACAGAAGTAATACCCATGGGTGATTAGAAATATGAGTGAGATTGTTTAGCTTGGCAAGGAGTAAGAAGAAATGTGAGAAGTGGACAAGCTCTAATAACCTGATACAGAGCAGAGAGGCTCTCAAATTTTTTATCTGGCAAAGATAATTTTTGGCATCTGACTGAATCTATAAACCTTTGCCATTTTATTCCTAAATTTCTTCTTTGTCTCAGAGCCAGTAGGTTTATTTTAAACCTTCACACAGTCCCTAGACCTATTAATTGTTTTATTTCTCACACTGAATTTTAGTTCAATATGCTCCCTTTAGCTGGAAGTTAGCAGATGAGCAGCAGGAGTGGATGAAATGGTAGGGATTTTGGAGTCAGACAGACCTCTGCCACATACTGTGTGACTTTAGGCAGATTACTTCTTAAATTCCTTGTTTCCTCATCTTTAAAATGGGGATGTTATCACAAACCGTGTAGGTTTTTTATGAACATCAAATAAGATGGTATATCAAAAGTGCTAGGATACTACTTGACAATAGTAAATTTTCTTATTCACCTCACTTTTATATTCAGGTGTTCAGTAAGTGTTTAACAGTAGTAAATACACTTACAAGTACCTTCTCAGAAAGTTCCCTTCAATTTCATGTCCTTAACTTTCTACCCAAGGGGCTGTTCTTTCTCCTTCTCCCTGGCAGTTGTAAACAAGTTTCGGCGTAATCCCTTTGCAAAGCAAGAAAAGGCCAGATCCAGAAAGAAATTATTGAGAGTCATATCTACATTGCTAGGAAGAAAAGTTTTAAAGTTTTAACCAATATGTTAAAAATTTTCATCAGAGGCTATAAATGATTTCCAGGAATCCTAATTACCCATCTCTGTCAGAAAATTCTGATAGATGCTGGATCCCTGAAGTTAGCTTCCCCTTCTTACTGTGTCCCCAGAAAGGTTGCTTTCCTGGGATAAGTGATGTTTCACTACTTAAGTACCTTTCATCTGAAGAGCTGCAGAATCATTTAAAGATACATTTAAAATACAATGTACCAAACATTCCTTATGCTATGTCACTAAAAAGATATTGAGAGAGAATATTTGGCTTGATAATAAAGACTAAGGCAGATGTATATGGATTTTGGCATATGAATGTGAGCAAGTTGCTTTTTAAAAAATCTCTTAGAACCTCGGTTGTATAAAAGAGCTAATAGTAAATAATAATAGTGATTTTATGGTGTTATTATTAGAATGGATGATTAAAGTTTGTAAAGCCCAGAAAATTCTACATTTTCCCTGTGCTTCCTTTCTTAAAATATTTTATTTAAAAAAAAATACATGTACACAATTTCAAAAATCAGATAACATGGAAATTTTATAATTCCCTCTCTTATCTGATTCATCTGTAATGCACTGATGCTTCTCGTCAACTTTCTTCCATCTTCCAGGGAATTGACGAAATTTCTTATTCATTAAGAGTTCTTGGCTGCCTCTTGTGTTCTTATCCCTGTTATGGGGATTTACAGCATTTCATTCCTTTATTATTATTATTATAATGTTTCTCTCTGGAGGGGTATGAAAGGGAGAGGAGGTATATGCTGAATCATTTTGATCTAGAAGCCCCTCACCCCAAATTTAGTTCATAAAATGATTATTTTCCTCTATTAAAAAACAAACTATTGTTACTGTGTGTTCAGTGCCAGGAAAATCATGGTGTCTGGCTCTATGGAGGCTAGAGTCTGGAAGGGGGATCTAAATAAACAAACAGTTCCATCCAGTACAGTAAGAGGGGTCTTAGAGGGTACCACTAGGGTAAGTGTGTTCCTTGGTTAAGACAAGTGGTTACAGAACTGGAAATAGAGTAAGAACTACCAAATTTACTATTGTTTTGAGTACTCAAAATTCTTTTTCTTTGGCTTCCTTGCTGTATAAACTCTCCTACTGCTGTAACATTGAGACACAGCTTTCCTAATTGCTTATACCTTCAGAAAAATGGGTGCTTGATTCTGTGGTTTGACTTTTTCTCTTGCGTGCTTGAGCTCCCATCATGTTCTAGCCTCCCAGAGCTGAGCTAATAACTGGGCCACTTTCCTTTTATGTTTCTGACTCTTGTTTCCCAGAGCTTATAAAGTTTTGGGGCCCATTTTTGTACTTGAAGTGTATAATTTATTGCTTCGTTCTGGCTCTTGTTCTACTTCACCTCTTTAGGTCATTTGGCCTTGAACTCTCCACTGTCATAATTTTTAACACTGACGTAATCAGTTGGGAGAATTTCAGATCCAAGACTTGTGCTAATAATTTGAATACAGCCAGGAGATTCAGAGAGCAGGTGAGGCTAAGCAGCTACCCAGTCCCTTGACCAGCAGTTTCTTTGTGGTGATTAAGCAATAGGTCAGCTAAGGATTTTCACTTCCCCTCTCATGGGCTTTATTCTAAGACCACTTTGTCTGGAACTATTCAGAAATGATGGATCCCTCTGGTGATGCTCTGTTCTGGTGTTACCTCTTCCACAGCAATATTTCTTTCCTAAATGTATTTTTTCTTGCTATCTCACTGTAACAAAACAAGGCTCATCAGTAGTGCAATACTAGAAACAAGTCCCATCAGAATATTAAGCAAGTCTTAGTTGTTAGAGCTACAGCTGTGATCATTTCAAGGCAAATTTCCTCCCTTTAAGTTCATGCTTTTAACATCAGCTAGAAAATTTTAGTACAAGTAACATCTCAGGTGATTGCAAATAATCCTCAGGTCACAAAGATTCTAGAATGGGACATTTGGTATAATGTAAGGATGATTTCCACTTACTTGATCTTAAGAGAAAATGTAAAATCCTCAATGGTAAGGCCATATGGGATAGTTGGAATAGTAAGGCTGTGGATTCAGATTGACTTGGATTTAAAACCTCCTGCCTCAGTTGCAAGCTCTATAACCTTGGCAAATTAATTAACCTCTCTGAACCTGTTTACTCAACTCTAATGTATGAATAATAATATCTGTCTTATAGGGTTGTTAGGAAGATAAGTGAAACAATCTAAGTGCAATAAATGACACACAGTACATGATCAGTAGAAAGTTATAAAACAACTTCATACCCTGACTTATCTGTAAAATAAAAAGCTCAGCTAAGATGATTTCTAAGGTACATCCCAACTCTAATAATTCTTGATTCTCTGATTTCCTTTGTATAAAGTTAATAAAATGTATTTTAAAGATACACAAATGCAGAGTTCTTGGTTGTCATGAATTACTGCTTGCAAAATGCACTTTGCTGGGTGTGGAGGTTTAGAGAGGCAGTGGAGAAGGCATTGTACTCTCTCTAGTGCCACATGCCACAGTTCTCTTATCGAAGTTTGTTTATTTCGGTCACTCCAGACTCTCCTGGGGTTTATGAAGCTGAGTCTCCATCTCCACCTCCTCCTCCTTCTCCATCTCCTGAACCAGTGCCCAAGACGGAGCCAGAACCGCCTCCTGTCAAGGTACAACTTTATGGGGATGGTTGCCTTTCCATGTGTCTTTTATTGCCCAAAGGCCTAAAGCTACCATGCTAAATCAGTTCACATGCTGTATACTCACAAATACCAGTAAGTGGTTCCTGTCTCATGCTGTTATCCCATTCTGTATTGAGCATTTCCCTCTCCTTTCACTGAAGGGAGAGTTCATCTATAGGGGCTAGTCTCAGGAAGTTGCAGAATTCAATCCTGGGAGCTGTTTTGTTTCATGACCTCCAGCATCAGGGTTGTTGTGCTACCAACTCGTGTTGGAATTGTGCAAAATGAGGTCTTATCTGCCTCAGAGCAAAGTGTGGGAAGGATAGAGTAAAACAACTTTTGCATATTTGTTGCCCTTCAGAAGCTCTTCTGGGGAAGATTAGATGGGAAAGCTGGCAACAAATGGGGAAGTGTTTTTGAGTGATCTTTAGCTACATCTCGTCTATATTATTGCAGGTAAAGAAAAGTCAAGAATATGGATGCAGATAAGGTTTTCTTTCCTTTGTGGCTATTAGTTTTCTTTAATTCTTACGTTAAGACTGCCATTTAAATTTTGTACTAATTTCCTCATTAGCTAAAGAAATAGTGGCATGTGGAAATCATAAGGAATTAGTATTAATAAGACCTGTGTGAGACCATATTAGATCGATGTAATGTTGCAGTGTCAAGGCTGCAGCAGAAGTGTCTATGACAGAGATGGACACTGGAAACCTCTGATCTGGTTCGGGACCTTCCCCATATGCTCCCTTAGTATCTGTCACAGCCCTCCATTAAAGCTCTTCCTACAGTAGATTGCAATGGTCTGTTTTCCTTCTCTCTCTTCCACTAAGGTTCTTGTCCTATTGGTCTTTTTAACCATGGTGCGTGCACTACCCAACAAAACTTTGCTGACTGAATAAACACAGTTTTTTGCTCAATGTGCTACTTTTCTTGTCATAAACAGTAAATATCAAACCTCTACCTACATACAATGACCATAATTTGTCTGTGGGTAGGGCTGGTCCCATAAAAGGAAATGTGTAGAGCTCCTCCTTCAACTTTTTGTCATCATGGAATATTGAAGGTTGATTGTTATACATTAAAAAGCTTTCATTATTTTTCTCTCTAGCTTCATTGATCAACTTAATCTCTGATCTTCCTGTAATATTTTAGAGCTCAAGTGGAGAAAAAAGAAAACGAAAGCGTGTGCTGAAATCTAAAACCTTTGTGGATGAGGAAGGCTGCATAGGTAAGAAAACATTTTGACTCCAAATCCAGAGATAGAATTATTACCCTAGAGAGGCACCATAGTCCCTTACAGGTCAGTGTGCTTCAAACTTTAATGTGCACATGGCATGCCCCCAAGTGATGCCATGCTATTTGTGGCCCACACTTTGAGTAGCAGAGTGTAGAGAACACTACAACTTAAGTCAGAACACCTGGGTGCTTGTTTGAGCTGTAAGCTATAAAAATAAGCTTTGAGATCTTGGATAAAGGTCATTTTGCCTCTGGGAAGGAGTTTCTTGATCTGTGGAGTGGAGGTAAAATACCATTTTGCCTATATGTGGGGCTGTTATAAAGATTCAAGTGAGGTTATATATCTAAAAACACATTCAGGATGGAAACCACAGTACTAACTTAAAGTGTTATCACAGATGTTGAGAAACGTATTTCTAAGAATGGCTGTTTCATACATTTGACCAGTGGAAAAGAAGCTCTGACAGATGATTGGGCTCTGAAGAATGTCAGGAGTCTTCTTGGTATTTAGTTCCATTTGTTCTACAGAGGGGTGTGACTCCTCCAGATTGCTTCGTCTATGTTTCCTGTGTCTCAGCCATGTCAGGTAAAAAGCTAGAGAAGAAGTATAATTCAGACTTTGAGTCACTGGTTGATTCTTCAGTCATATTTTAGCTCCTTTTACCAACTGTTTCCACAGTTGACCCAGACTTTTGTGGGGCTTTCAGGATTTAGTGCTTGAGGCCCAGGGGGATGTTCAGAACCTGGTACTGTCTTTTTCTGTTTGGAAAGAGTTGTGGGTTTGGGCTCTTGAACCTCTTGTTAGTTGGATAGCCCATAATCATTTCTCCTTTCCTGTGGCACCTGTCGCAGCTTGCTGTCCTAGAGAAGTATTTTTTCTCTTTTTTGATTTTCCTGTTCGGGTTCAAATTTTTGTCTTGAAAAGATTAACTGAAGAATCCTCTTTTTCCAGGCAATGTGGTTGCTAAAACTAGTAAAGACATCTCACCAGCTGTGAGCTCTGTCCCATTATTCCCCACTTCCCACTCCTCTGAAAAGGCCTCTGCTGTTTTAATTGTCACATATGATTGGAGCATAAGATTCCTTACATGTGAAAGTTCTGTCTTTTCAGTGCCAGATTTCTGATGAGCCTGTGAATTCTGCACTCTTTTTGCTTTGTTTTCTTTGCTTGTAGTGCATTTCCAAGCCTCATGGTTTGACTGTTAATGGTAACATACATGTTTATTTACTGTTGAGTTTCTTATTCTTTTTCTTTTAAATTTAACAGGGAAAAAGCATCAGTGCCAGTTTTTCTCCTCCTGCTACCTGAAAAGAAAAATGTCCAATATATCTTTGTGAGCATTCATGGGAATTGGGAATTTGTGGCCAATTACCTATTGCTTTGCTCAAAACACAGTACTCAAGTTTTGGCCAGTTGTGAGATGTGGATTTTTTTACACTCCTGTCTCTAGACAGGACTGTTAAGAGCCTTGGATGCAACAATGCAAACTGCTCACATAGTGCTTTTTTTTTTTTTTTAATTAAAGATTTTTAGTCCAAGCTCAACTTAATGAATCTTGACTTTCATTACCAGCAAAGGAGTTCTGCTTCCCTCTGTCTGTTTGGACTGCTCCAAATGTATTAGCACTAGGGGCTTTCCCTGTCCTGTGCTGGATCAAAGTTGATCTGTGGGTTTAAAAAGCTGATCTTTCTCTTTCTGTGAATTTGATGCAGGGGCTGGGGAATTGGGCCTCTGAGATAAGTTTGGGTGGGCTTCTGGACAAGGTGGATTTTGAGAGCAGAACAGTTAAATGGAAAAGATTTTTGCTATTGCCCACACAAACTAGGCCTTATTTTTTTTTTTTGGTATCATTAATCTACAATTACATGAGGAACATTATGTTTACTAGCTTCCCCCCACACCAAGCCCCCCCCCACAAACCCCATTACAGTCACTGTCTGTCAGTGTAGTAAGATGCTGTAGAATCACTACTCTGTGTTGCACAGCTCTCCCTGTGCCCCCACACACATTATACATGCTAATCATAATGCCCCCTTTCTCCCCCTCCCCCCTTATCCCTTCCTTCCCACCCATCCTCCCCAGTCCCTTTCCCTTTGGTAACTGTTAGTCCATTCTTGGGTTCTGTGGTTCTGCTGCTGTTTTGTTCCTTCAGTTTTTCCTTTGTTCTTATACTCCATGTATGAATGAAATCATTTGGTACTTGTCTTTCTCTGCCTGGCTTATTTCACTGAGCATAATACCCTCTAGCTCCATCCATGTCGTTGCAAATGGTAGGATTTGTTTTCTTCTTATGGCTGAATAGTATTCCATTGTGTATATGTACCACATCTTCTTTATCCATTCATCTACTGATAGACACAGGTTGCTTCCATTTCTTGGCTATTGTAAATAGTGCTGCTATAAACATAGGGGTGAATCTGTCTTTTTCAAACTGGGCTGCTGCATTCTTAGGGTAAATTCCTAGGAGTGGAATTCCTGAGTCAAATGGTATTTCTATTTTGAGTTTTTTGAGGAACC